AATTACATGATTTTAATAATAATATGTCATGATCTAAAGTGGGCCACATGAAACTCCAGGGCTGAAAATGAGTCCCACTCCGGCCCTGGACACATGGATGATGATGATGTGTGTGTGTGTCCTAAGAATAGAAATACAAACGAGTGTGTGTTTAAAGCTTTTGCCACATAAAAAGGTAAATAATGAAATAGCTTAAATATCATTTTAGGCATCGATCAGCAATCCTCCCTGCAAAAGGGCAGAATTAGTTGTTTCTTTGTTATACACAAAACAGAAAGTCTGACTCCTTTTATGAGAATGTCGAGTGTACATGTATGTAGTTTTGAAATGGTTGATTAGGCAACTCAAATAACGACTACAAAATATTTTGTATGGATTTTTAAAAAACTTAGTTTAATTCAGTGAACTGTAGTGGTCGTGTTCCACAAAGACAAATATAACAACCTCAATACCATTAAATAAAACATCAGTGACTGATGTCACACCACATGTGGAGGGTTTGATATAAATTTATGATTAAAAAAAAAAAAAATCCCAGAAAATAAGCAAAATGACAAAAATAAGTAAAAAAAAAACAGTTTTGGGACATTTCAATCCAAAATAAAATACTGAGCAGCATGTTTGTTTTAACCTGAAATAAACCCAAACATTAGTTCATCAGTGTTTCAATTTATCAGCAGAAACCAGAGTTTATGGTTTTGATGCATAGCAACAGCTGAAGTCCTCAGTGACATCACAGCCTGTGAAAAGCAGCGCCTTTTATATCGGTGAGTTATTTTGACGGAATGGCCGATGTTTGATATTTAACTTTATCGCTAATATCGGCCGATACCATGCCGATAATATCGTGCATACCTAGCAGGAACCGTACAAATGTGCTGCAGATATTTATTCTTACAAATTTGCTGGTTAACTCGGAACATTTTAGGTTTTATATAGAAGTTAAACATATACATAATAAATTGCTTTTCTATATTTGCACATATTAAAGCTATAAAATAATGGAAATAAAACCGTACAAGAGCTAGTTTCAGGTGAGAGAGCAAAACGTCCTTAACTACCTGTGCTTGTAGTTTACTGTAGATGGACTGTGTGTGTCCGAGCTGCTCAGTGGCAATGGTCAGTGCCTGCTCCATCCTTTTGAGCAATTGCATCTCCCTGAGGTGAGACAAAACAATATTTTAAATATTAATCGTCTTCATCAGATGTCTGCTCCCTCCTCACAGAAATGCTCCTCAGCTTTGTTTCCTTTCAGATTTAAATGTAACAAAACATCCTGTTAACCACTAACAAATCCATGGATGAACAATAAAGTGTAAAAGCTAGTAAAATTAATGTAAAACCACCATTTTTCATGTTAAGCATTGAAGTAGATTTTGGGATGAGTTTTAACAGCTCTCTGCTTAACGCCTTCTACTCAAAAGGACTAAAATGCTCTCGCTGGTCAAAAATAAATAGCTGAGGCCAAAGCCGCTGCACATTTTTCTTCTTTACTTGAAAAGTCAAATTAGCGACCAGACAAACAATATGCAATTATGTTTCACAGTACTGTCATTACCTCCAAAAAGAAATGACAAAACGGGAAAAAAAGGTAGTTTGAACAGTTTAAGAGCAGTTCAGCAGCTCATTTTCGGTGAAGTTTTGGGGCTTTGCAACTTTTCAAACCCTTAAAGAGGTCATTCAGATCTTTTGAAGTGAGAATCTGTGAAAAGTAGCAAGAAGAAAGCCATTTCTCAAAGATTTCCATAAAAAGTGTTGTTTAAAGGTTGCCACAAGCCACCTGGGAGACACACTCAACATGTGGAAGAAGGTGCTCTGGTCACATGAAACCAAAATCGAACTGTTTGGCCACAATGCAAAATGATATGTTTGGCGTAAAAGCAACACAGCTCATCACCCTGAAGACAACATCCCCACTGTCAAACATGGTGGTGGCAACATCATGGTTTGGGCCTGCTTTTCGTCCGCAGGGACAGGGAAGATGGTCAGAATTGATGGGAAGATGGATGGGGCCAAATACAGGACCATTCTGGAAGAAAACCTGTTTGAGTCTGCAAGAGACCTGAGACTGGGACGGAGATTTATCTTCCAACAAGACAATGATCCAAAGCATGAAGCCAAATCTACAATGGAATGGTTCACAAATAAACGTATCCAGGTGTTGGAATGGCCAAGTCAAAGTCCAGACCTGGATCCAATCGAGAATCTGTGGAAAGAGCTGAAGACTGCTGTTCACAAACGCTCTCCATCCAAACTCACTGAGCTCGAGCTGTTTTGCAAAAAGAATGGGCAAGAATTTCAGTCTCTCCATGTGCAAAACTGATAGAGACATACCCCAAGAGACTGTAGCTGGAACTGCAGCAAAAGGCGGAGCTACAAAGTATTAACGCAAGGGAGCGAATAAAATTGCACACCCCACTTTTCAGTTTTTTATTTGTTAAAAAAGTTTGACACATCCAATAAATTTCATTCCACTTCACGATTGTGTCCCACTTGTTGTTGATTCTTCACAAAAAATTAAAATGTTATATCTTTATGTTTGAAGCATGAAATGTGGCAAAAGGTTGAAAAGTTCAAGGGGGCCGAATACTTTCACAAGGCACTGTATATATAAGGCGCTGTTTTTGTCTGACTGTTCTGAGTGTTGTCATTGTGTTAGAGAGACTAAATGTCATGAATAAATTTGACATTAAACATAATCCAAGTTAAAGTGTTACATAATTTTCAGCCTCCATTTTGGCATCTGCATTTAGTAGCAGGCCAAATTGACAAAGACCATGCAGAATAATGTAGTATTTTAATTCCACAACAGAGAAAGCTATGTAGTCTCTATAAGTAGAGGGAAAAAAAATGTTTGTATTGGTATAAGTTATCGGCCAAATAAGTTTTAACATATCGTCATATCGGATATCGGCCAAAAATCCAATATCGTGCATCCCTAGTAAAAACCCTTGTTTTGAAAAACAGACAGCAATTAAAAAGTGTATCAAATAACGACTGTATGAATTGCTTTAAAGATTTTGACAGTGGAAGTTGTTGTAAGACAGCAGCAAACCACTCTGATTTCTGCCTCTCTTGAATTAGCCATTGGCCTGTCCATCCAGTCAGATTTAAACTCTATTTCTCCAAAAATAAAAGTAAACCAAAGGCAATTGGTGGAATAAAATTTGTTCCTAACATTTCCACAGAAACCCCCTTTAAACTATCAGGACTATTGTTTTTAACATTCATAAAAGGTGTATAGAAAAGTGAAGAAAACATAAGACATAAAAAGAGTTATTTGACTTCTCTAAGTGTATCCAGATAAATGCACTCAATAAAAAATACATTTGGAGCTCAAGAATAACATAAACTGTAAATAACTTTGTTTAGAATAAGCTGTAAGTATGTGTGGGATTGTTATTGTGTTGGACTTTATTTGGTACCTATTTTTCTCCCTGAGCTGCACAGACTGCCTCTCATACAGGTGCTTTCTGTCACTCATCAGGTTCTGCAGCTTCAGTTCTAAGATACCTCTGGCAAGGAAACACAATGACATGTATAACAAGGTTAGCATCCAACTATAAATCAACAGTGATTGTATTTATAATCTCAAGTACAATGTTTCTATAAGAAACCATGTTTCAGTGAAGTTTTTACCTGTTGCCCATGTTTTGAGCCGACTCTTCTCTGCTGACCTCCTGTTCCTTCAGAAGCTCCCTCTGCTCCCTCTGACACCCCTCTATTTGTTCTCTGATATCCTCTAACTTCTGAATCACCTCCTCCCTCATCATCCTCAGGGATTCGTTACGCTCATCCACCACCTTCATCTGCTGCTGAGTTTCTAAAATCTCCATATTTAGTGCTTCCATCTTCTTCATTGCAACTCTGATTTAAAGAATAGGACGAATGAACAAGGGAAAAGTTTTCTCTCGTTCTCTACTCTTTTTAAAGTGCATTTCCTAGAAAATAACAGCATATTTTAATTTAAACCCTTAGAATCCTTTAGGATTTTCAATTTACAAGTTGTGGCTTATAGCTCACAAACAGTGTTCCCCCACATGAATTACAGGCTAAAAATCAATTTAAAATAAACTTAAGAAAGGAAAGGCTGTGATGCCAATGATAAATAATTCTACAGCAACATTTGAATTTATATGTTGATGAATAATGATTAAAATAGGAAATTCTGTGAACGTTTTAACAAAGAGTGCTTCATTAATTATACTTATTCATGGGCTGACTATTAAATAACAACCTAAATAATGAGCTTGCTTCCTGATGCATGCTCAATAATCCAGGTAGAAAAATCAAAAAAAGTTAAGTCTGGTCCTTTTTTTGTTTTGTTTTTTGAATGTCCAGAGGACCAGACTTAACTTTTTTTAGAATGAGCTTGCTTGTTCTTTGCCTTAAATTGTCTCGTTGGAAATGTTAGCATGTGAGTTTATTGAGGTTCATATTTTATGAACCGATGGACAGATTTTCATGCATCTACAATCGATTAACCTTTGGAATAAACTCAATTGAAAATGACTACCACAGGCAATCAACCTTAGCCAACACATTAATGGCTATAACCGTCAATAGTGGAGGAAGGAGCATGCAGGCAGATTACATTCTGTGTAAAAGAGGAAACCTGAGGAAGATTGGGAACTGTAAGGTTGTGACAGGGTAGAGCGTGGCCAGACAGCATCGGATGGTTGTGTGTAGGACTGATGTGAACATAGGATGATCTTAAATTTCATGAAATTCAAGGCACTCTCCTTAAAATGACTAAAATGCCTATATTCAAATTGGAGCAAGTGCCATCCTAAGAACACCTCATTTGAACCTGCATTAAATCAAAGAAGCACTCCTACACCTTTTGTTTCTAAAATGGTGATTTTAGTTTAAAACTGGTATGAAAGGCAATTGGCAATAGGAATTCCTTTAACTTCAAAGAATGGTAGTCCTTTATTTTCACATGTCAAGCTGGTCAAAAGTCTAAAAGTAATGCTAAAAATCTGCCACTGTGAATTAGAGGAGGCTGGTGATGCAGTGGGCAATTTCTACTTCAAAGCCAGTAAAATAAAGATAGTAAAAGTTAAATTCACATACAAAATGGTTTACATCTATTCTAGCAACCTAAAACGCAAAGTTCTGAGTAGAATGGTAAAGTTTTGCAAAGATTTTTAGATTGTTTTGCATCAATACAAAAAGTTTTAGAGATATTTACAATAAAACTATGAGCAAAAACAAATGCCCAAAACTATGTCATTAGGTTAATTATATCCTCCTATAAAATGGAAATCTTTACTAATTAGGGAACAACTGATTATGCAGTATTGACTTGATTTCTGTTTTTCTAATATTGTGTGAAAATTACAAATGTGCTATTTGTACTTACTCCCACTTTGAGCGTTTTCTCTCCGTCTCCTTTATTATCTGATCAGGTATGCTGACGAGCCCAGCTTTTTCCACCTTGTAACAGCAATGTAGAGAAATGTAACCAAAATAGCATGTTTATTTATTGGTGGTGTAAATAATGCTATCAGCTAAACCCACAGACACACAGACCTCTTTCAGTTCAATAATCTTCTTTTTTTCTTCCAGCTCTTCCTGTTCTTTTATTATCAGCGTTTCATGTGCTTCCACATCTTCCATTAGATTTCTGTGCATGCAGTGGGAGTAAAGCATACAGAAAAATGAGTTTATCCGCAGAACAATTTCCATTAACAGTGCTGAAAAACAGCTGCAGAAGGCATTTGAGTACACAATAAAGATAATAAACACATAAAAGACATGAGCAAATAAGCTATGGCTTCAGTATATTCATTATCTGTGTCACTTTTATCCAATAGAGGTGCTAGAGCCCATCACAGCTAATGTTATGTGATAGGTAGGGCACACCTGGGCAAGTTGCCAGTTCATAGCAGGGCTAATACAGAACTAATAGAATGTGTATTCATAGCTCATTTACAGTCAGCAGGTGTTTTTATTTCAGGTTCAAACTCTGAACGCTGGCGCTGTGAGGCAAAAGAAACCACCATCTCTGTCATGTACAGTATTTACCTGACATCCAGTTGTCTCTGGGCCACCTCGTTCCTCAGATCCTCATACTTATCCTTCAAGGCCTTTGTTTCGGTTTCCAGATTCTGAAAGAGTCCACCAACGATACGAACTTTAGATGATGTAGTGAGTCAGGCCAAGGATGGTGATTCAGCTGAGCTCATAGAGATTTAAGGTTAAAAACACTTTTACAACCTGTATTTGTTGTATCAAAGATACATAAATTGATTTTTTTTTTAAAGAAATTAATTGATTCATGACATGTTTGACTCTAATACAGTTATAAATATCACAGTTTTATCTCCAGGATTCATCCAGTTATATGCGCATGTAAAGAAAAGTCGTTAGATGTGTTGAAAATAACTTGAATATTTGACTTTGTATGACGCAAAATCCGAGAATGCGTGTGTGTGAAATTACATTATTCATTGGTTTTATCAGTAAATGCTGTATGCCCGTGTACTTTTTGAAAGAAGCAAACTGGTTTCCAGAAACTGCTAGAAGAACCTGTTTAGTTTTTGGCTCCAATGATCTGTATAATAAATACTCATCCATCAACTTTTTTTATTGCTGTGTACTGGTGGACTTTTGGAGATGTCGCAAGCCAGAGAAACTCCAGCTAACTCAAAATGGTCTGAAATTGTGCCAGTGGTTGAAAATAAGTAGCAAGGGAGACATCTAAAAGTTACTGAGGCAAGCTGCTAAAATTATTCCACAAATTATGCAGAGCTCAGGCTGTAATCCTTCAGCAGCACAGGCTACAGATTGGATAGAGTTTGAGATTTACTTGAGGGGTCTTAGGTTATTGTTTTCTCTTCAAATCTGATTTTTTTTATTTTATTTTGAAAAAGCTGGTGTTTTTATTGCTGATGTCTCAAAAAGAAAAACTATGCAGTCTAGCTTGATAAGATTTGAAAACGCTACACGGTGATGGGATTCTCACAGACTAAAGGAATGCAGAGGTAATATGCTCTGCAGCATCGTAGAGTGCTGCAACACAGCTTCCAGCAGATCCTAGGAGTGTTTGATAATGGGCCAATGATCGGGTGCATTCTGGTTTCCTTCAATAAAACACAGAAAGTCACATATAATAAAAATGTAATACTTTAGGAAACGAATTTTTTAGATGTTTGAATTTACTTCTTTTTTATATATAAATGTATTAAAACTTTAAAATACCCAAATTATAGTCTGAAGTTACAAAGCTTCTGGTAGCTAAGTAACAGTAGCCAGTACTGTATTTTTCAGACTATAAGGCACACTTAAAATACTTTAATTTTCTCAAAAATCGACAGTGAGCTTTATAATCTGGTGCGCCTTATGTATTAATTCTTGTTGTGCTTACTGACCTCGAACCAATTTTATGTGGTACACGGCGCTCAAAAACCTGTCAAAAATGTTTTAGTTTCACTTAATGCACCTTATAGTCTGCAAAATACAGTACTTTAAAGTTCATGCTCAATAATCCAGGTAAAAAAATCAAACAAATTTAGTCAGGTCATCTGGACTTATCACCAGCAAACTGGTTGGTCCACTATGGGAGTGTGCTGCTTCTGGGACTCAGTTTGTTTGTGGCTCCTCGGATTGATGAAGTTCTTTGGATGAAGGACGAAACGTCTCAACAAAAAAAGAAACCAGCCAGATCACCTGATTGTTGGAGTACTAAATGTACTCAAGTATGTACTCAAGCACTCAAATGTTCATATTAAGTCTAGTTGGGAGCCTTAAGTACATTTGAATTTATGATAGTTATTACAGGAATCTGGATAGTTTTGGTGCAGAAAGGAACTTACAGCAGGTTTTGTTTGAACCTCTTTCTCCAGAAACTGCTTCTCTTCCTGGAGGCTGCAATCATGAGGCAATGTGGGGAAAAAAAGATTCATATTAGAAAGAAACAACCCCTTTCAGTTCCTGATTCAGCTGAAAGAGGAATGCACTGAAACACATTTTTAGAATTTGACTAATGTGTCCCGGGCAGCACGGTGGCACAACTGGTAGAGCTGCTGCCTCTCAGCGAGCAGGTCCTTGGTTCAAACCCCGGTCCAGGGGCCTTTCTGGGTGGAGTTTGCATGTTCTCTCTGTGCATGCGTGGGTTTTCTCCGGGTACTCCGGTTTCCTCCCACAGACCAAAAACATGCATGTTAGGCTGATTGGTAACTCTAAATTGTCCCTAGGTGTGAGTGAGAAAGTAAATGGTTGTTTGTCTCGTTTGTCTCTATGTGTCCCTGTGATGGACTTGCGACCCGTCCAGGGTGTACCCCGCCCCTCGCACAGTGATTGCTGGACATGGGCACCGGCGACCCCCGTGACCCAAAATGGAATAAGCGGGTAAAGATAATGGATTTATGGATGGACTAATGTGTCATTTCTTGTCAATTAGAATCCTCTAATGAAAATAATGAAGCAAAATCTAAATATTAACGAATATTTTAGATATTAAGGATTGTAGATTAAATCAGCTTTAAATGCTGTACAAGCAAGCATACAAATGCAGCAGCTGATGTACAAAACTTCATCCTACATCTTGGGCCACACCACACAGTACAAATGTGCATATAAGATCATAATTTGTGAATGTTTTCCTCCCTGCGGCAGATGCTTTTTGAGCAGTCGATTGGAGTTTGTACGAAATAATTTGCAGTCAGCTATGTCATTATGAAAAAAACCTTACAACAGCACATACTGTATGGCTGCACATTTCACAAAGCAAATGATATTAATCTTCCTGACACGTTGATATATTAGATATTAACTGATTCAGAGAAAAGTGTGTGAATGCTAAAATGTGGGACTCCGGGAGGAAAGAAAAAGAGCTGAATTCGAGTGGATCTGTTTGGGTAGAGATAAAGAAAAATAACAACTTTAAAAGAGCATATTTTCACAGTGAGCATACGGTTGTCATGTGCAGACTGATAGCTGTGTGGAAAAGAGATGGGGAAATAAAACAAACCAGGGAGAATCAGGAATAGAGAGAATAGATTCTGCTGGAGGGGATGAAGAGGGTGTAAGGAGAAACAGAAATGGAGAGAGTATAAAGCTTACTGGCTAAAAGATGTCATAAATAACATGCACACTCACAGTGTGTTCAGCTGTAGATTACTGCACCCTCAGAGAATGCCCTGGAAGTGGTTTTTATTTCATCTTTCAGTTACTGCTTGGCCAACAACTCGGAGTCTGCACTAAAAAATGGATTCTACATATCATGTTTTTCTCATACAGTGGACACTTTCAAGTGATTGGTTTTGTGTCGAGATGCTGCAGAAGCAAATGCCAAGTGTGACGAACTTATTTAACAATGATACATAGAAATGACTTATGGTTCTGTCACATTTGAGTATGCATTTTTCAAGGGTTAAAAAATGAAGCAATGTGATGTTGGGTTGTTTTTTTAGTGTTACTGTAATTGCTTTAGAGTTAAAAAGTTTTATTTTTTAAGATATCTGATGTTTTGGTTTGGTTTCTCTAAGTTCCCCTTAGCCATGTTTTCTCAGCTCATCTCAGTTTTCCTCATTTCTGTCTAATTTTACACCTGTTCCTTATTCCTCATTAGAACCAGCTGCAGCCCATTTCCCTCACCAGCCTCAGTCCATTTAGTTTGGGTTTGCCCTCAACCAGGAGTATACCATTGTGCTTTATACTCTTTCAAGTTTCCCTCTAGCTCCTCGAGCTTCTTTTGCATTTTTGCATCCAGGTTTAAGATTTAATCAATTGGTGTCCCCTTTTGAAATGAAAATGGACAGATCTGGACTATTTTTTAACTAATGTTTATCATTAACATGGTTTTAGACCTGGGCGTTTGGGACTCCACCCATCCTTTATCTGCTACTTGTTAGCAGGGCACAGAGAGGTGCAGACTTCTTTATCCACAACCACTTCTTCCATCCCTTCTGTGGGAGTTCCTGTTTTTCCTGCTGCTCTAAAGACATTAGATGGCGCCAACATTTCCACACCTGAATATAATCTCCTTAACGAGATGCCAGGAGTATAAAAGGTAGTAGATGATTTCTTCTCACCGCTGGAGCATTACCTGCCTCTGGTAGTCGTGCTTCTAGCCGTTTTGTATTCTATGACCCTTGAGAAAGACTTACTTGTGTTCATTTTCCTTACAGTATCTCTCCTCGCGAACTACCTGTGCCTGGACTTCTTTGAAGAACCCCTGGAAATCTCTTGTGTCTCCTCAGCTGCCTTCCTCACCTTCCAACCACATGCCTTACTACCCAACATACAGTAAGAACTGAAATCTACCGACTATATCATCCTCCTCTTGGAAAATATAATCTAACTCGTGTCTTTGCTCCTCAGGGTTCACTGTAAATAAAACCACTTTAAATGTATTCTCTGTCTTGAAATTTGTTCATTCCTCAGTTCTTGTCTATGGGTATTCAGTTAAACCTAACAGCTTCAAACATTTGGGGCCAAAAACAAATGTTTTCTATCAAAGGAGAGCTTCTTTGCAGGTGTCAAAATACAGCTATAGTACACTATAAATAAATACAGAAAGGAAATTGAAAAAGGGTTCAAGACATGTTTTGTGACCCCTGGTATAATTTGGACTTTTCTTAGAGGACATTTTTAGCACAAATCTTTTGAACACATTCAAAACTGCAAGCCTCTGCGATTCACGTGAGGAAATTGAAAACTCCTGTGAAGTCTGTGAGATATACAGTGGGGAGAACAAGTATTTGATACACTGTTGATTTTTCAGGTTTTCCCACTTGCAAAGCTTGTAGATGACTGTAATTTTTATCATAGGTACTCTTCAACTGTGAGTGATGGAATCTAAAACAAAAATCCAGAAAAATACAATGTATGATTTTTAAATAATTAATTTCCATTTTATTGTGTGAAATAAGTATTTGATACACCAGTAAAATGAAACTTAATATTTGGTACAGAAACCTTTGTTTGCAATTACAGAGATCAGACGTTTCCTGTAGTTCTTGACCAGGTTTGCACACACTGCAGCAGGGATTTTGGCCCACTCCTCCATACAGATCTCCTCCAGAGCCTTCAGGTTTCGGGGCTGTCGCTGGGCCACACGGACTTTAAGCTCCCTCCAAAGATTTTCTATGGGATTCAGGTCTGGAGACTGGCTAGGCCACTCCAGGACCTTAAGATGTTTCCTACGGAGCCACTCTTTAGTTGCCCTGGCTGTGTGTTTTGGGTCGTTATCATGCTGGAAGACCCAGCCACGACCCATCTTCAGTGCTCTTACTGAGGGAAGGAGGTTGTTGGCCAAAATCTCACGATACATGGCCCCATCCATCCTTCCCACAATATGGTGCAGTCGTCCTGTCCCCTTTGCAGAAAAGCATCCCCAAAGAATGATGTTTCCACCGCCATGCTTCACGGTTGGGATGGTGTTCTTGGGGTTGTACTCATCATTCTTCTTCCTCCAAACATGACGAGTGGAGTTTAAACCAAAAAGTTCTATTTTTGTCTCATCAGACCACATGACCTTCTCCCATTCCTCCTCTGCATCATTCAGATGGTCATTTGCAAACTTCAGACGGGCTTTGACATGCGTTGGCTTGAGGAAGGGCACCTTGCTTGCACTGCAGGATTTTAATCCTTGACGGCGTAGAGTGTTACTGATTGTTTTCTTTGAGACTGTGGTCCCAGCTCTATTCAGGTCATTGACCAGGTCCTGCCGTGTAGTTCTGGGCTCATTCCTCACCTTCCTCAAGATCAATGATGCTCCACGAGGTGAGATCTTGCATGGCGCCCCAGACCGAGGGAGATTTTCCGTTATTTTGTATTTCTTCCATTTTCTAATAATTGCACCAACTGTTGTTGCCTTCTCACCAAGCTGCTTGCCTATTGTCCTGTAGCCCATCCCAGCCTTGTGCAGGTCTACAAATTTATCCCTGATGTCCTTACACAGCTCTCTGGTGTTGGGCATTGTGGAGATGCTGGAGTCTGATTGATTAAGTGTGTGGACAGGTGTCTTTTATACAGGTCACGAGTCCAAACAGGTGCAGTTAATACAGGTAATGGGTGGAGAACAGGAGGGCTTCTTAAAGAAGAACTAACATGTCTGTGAGAGCCAAAATTCTTACTGGTTGATAGATGATCAAATACTTATTTCACACAATAAAATGGAAATTAATTATTTAAAAATCATACATTGTATTTTTCTGGATTTTTGTTTTAGATTCCATCACTCACAGTTGAAGAGTACCTATGATAAAAATTACAGTCATCTACAAGCTTTGCAAGTGGGAAAACCTGAAAAATCAATAGTGTATCAAATACTTGTTCTCCCCACTGTATCTGGAGACTCCCTCATGAATGCTGCTGAGATACTGGCTTAAGAAAAAATCTATAATAAACCATAAGAGAATGTTTTCCTTAACTTTCTACTTATGACCTTGTATAAGAAACGCCAAACTTCCACATCATATGGAATGCAGAAATGTTAGACTGTATTTCACTATTGAACTATTGTCCCAACATGTTTCCATGTGCAACCCATAATGTGAGGTCAAAAGTCTGTTACATAGTTAAGTGTCACAAGCTAAAATATTTGGTAAAATGTTCAGAACTACTGGGGTATGTTATCCCGTGGCCTTAGCAATGTTCCAGTAACTTCCATTTGGCACTTGACAAAGTTTAGTTTGTATACAGAGAAGGAAGTGGGATGACATTGAAGTGAATGGTCTTTTCCATTACTGTGGGTGTGTTTGACCTTTTGGACAAGTGAAAGTGAGTGAGTTAGGAGAGGAAAAAAGAGAAACCTGCAGCGGAGAAGAGGAAAATTGGCTGTGATGAGAAAAGAGACTCATGAGAGCAGAAGCAGAAGGATGATAGAAGAGGAACCGATAACACTACAGGATTAATCAGAAAAAAAAATGTTGAGTGTGCAGACAAAGTTACAACTACAGCAAACAGAAACTTGTACTTGAACAGATTATTTATATAGTAAACATCAAATAATGAAACGAGTAACACTTTTTTAAAGCATTCAGTTTTTGCTCCTATTTAAGGGATATAACATTTTGTGAGTGAAGCAATACACAACTGGTATATTTTAGTGTGTTGGTGTGTGACAAATACTTTCACCTTCACCTCAGTAAAAAGATGCTGCCTCATGGAGCTCACTTCAGTGTTTGGTCCCCCGTTACAGCTGTGAGTATGCGTGAGTGTGTGTATGTGGTTCTTCCTGCTCACGTAAGCTTTCCTGTCATAGTAACTTCTCTTTTCAGCACTCCAATTTCACTTCTGTCCATTGGCCTTACTCCCCTCCATCCCCTGTGTTCCTCTGTTTTGTGACTCCTTGCATGTTTTCAACACAAGACTTTGATTAATTTGATGTTTGATTGAAAAGTTAACTGCAAGCGAAACAAGTCCCATCGGTGGCTGCCATAACGGGGCATGAATGCATCCATCTCACCACTTCAGTTCATGCTGCGTCTCGTACTCTCTCTCCTCAGATGCTCTCAGTTGGTTGTATGCCTGAAGAAGCTGTCGCCTGAGTTCACTGACCTCACTGTCAGGCTCCTCAGAGCTACTCTGCTTCTCCATACCCTCTACCGCGACTCGAAGCCTCTCCAGCTCGGCCCGACATCTCTTTGCCTCTCCCAAAAGCCGCATCTCAGAAGTCTGGGCACTGTTAGATGAAACAATGACATATGTACATAGTATTTTGACACAGTCTTAACTCTTTATCCTCAAGGCTGCGAGCACATTTCTGAGAAAACTTCTAGTAAATAAACTTCTAGTTCTAAGACAAATCATACCACTGTAAATGATTGCAGATCCATTTTTAATGCATTTAAAAGCGCAATGTTGATAAGAATGAAAAACTTCTAAAGAATAACAAGAATAAAATATGTACATTTTTCTGTTAAAGTTTTTGATAGGTATAAAATAGATTAATTATAAGCTTCAGGAAATACTCTATTCTTTCCCAAATTATTACATAATGTACAATCACAAATTGGTCTAATAAGAGGGTAATTTTGTTAATGAATACCTATGTTGGGAGCATTTTGGCTAACAGGGCTCTTATTATTCATCTAGCAAATGTTATTTATACCTAAAAGTCAAATACTAATCCTACCTTTATCATGCTTTGTTCAGAAATGAAACATATGCTGCAATTCAATTCAAGGTAGTGCTTCGGCATCACTGGTCCAAAGACAAGCTATCCAAGATCAAAGCCGACCTGGACCCCGCATGTAATCATTGTAAACAAACTCCAGCTACACTCCTGCATACATTCTGGACCTGTCCCAAACCGCAGAGCTTTTGGCAACCTATTTTTGACATCTCCTGTGGGATATGTGGAAAAACTGTACACCCATCACCGCTCATCTCACTGTTCGGGGTGATCCCTGTGGATATGTCCTTCAGCAAGAACAAGAAGGAGGTGATTGCTTTTGGCTCTCTCCTGGCCAGAAGACTGGTTCTGTTTAATTGGAAGGACCCACGCCCCCCAGCATATGTACAGTGGATAAGAGAGGTGATGTATCATATATATATAGAAAAACTAAGATATACCCTAAAGGGTTCTGTGAAAAGATTTTTGGGCACGTGGCAGCCTTTTATGTTGTATGTGAAAGCTTTCAATGCCTGTGTAATTCATTTTTATTCAGTTATGTATGTGTGACTGATCCAGTGTAGGAGGGATGGAGTGAAAGGTATTTTTGTTTGTTTGTTTTATGTTCATAATGAAAAATGAATAAAGAAAATAAAAAAAAGAAACATACCATTTCAAGCTGTCGTAAAGTAGCTCGTAGTTGGATTTCAGTTTGGCTACTGTAGTTTCGTTAATTTTGTTTGACACCATCTGAAAAAAACAAAACCAAAATACAGGAATGATAAATATACACACAAAAGGACAAAGAGGACAAGAAATACACACAGACAAACACAGAATTGGTCCAGAAGTAGTATCATAGATCATGATAGTAGGAAGTACTTGAAGATCATGATGTTTACCCACAGATCAAGATTAAAAGCACTGTTATTGTCAGTGTGTGTGCATGTGTGAGAGCGAAAAACATAGTAAAGCACTTTGCAGAACCTGGAACAGAAGTGGACCGTTTAATATTATTTAACACTGATTAAAAAGTTCAATAAAGTATGCCTCTGAAAAATAAAGCACAGCAAAAAAACACATATGTAGAGTCTAAAAGTTAAATTATCTATTTGAGTTGTAAAATTTCTCTTGTCCTGAAGGCAGAGCTGTGTGCTTGCAACAAAGATAGAAACAGAGGACAGGTGCTGTTCCCCCTCTTATCTTTGGAGCCAGGTTGGTAGAGCAGCAAGAAATGAGGGATAGCGTTGTCTGTATCAAAGAGCTGCAGGACCGAGGCTATCTCTGATCAGACCGTGCAGCAAGTTTCCCAACAACGTGAATAAACACCAACGTTCTGATCATACACAAACGTTGACTGGTATCTCGTCCCGACTGCGACGGATTATTGTGTTCTTAGATTCACCCCAATATATTGTTCATTGTCATGAGCGCTCACGCCGCTCCAAGGTCTCAAAGGACAGAGATATGAACGTGTTGAATGATGTGGATCGTTAAAATGATTTGTTCTGATTTTTTTAACCCTCTGCCATCAGAGGTCAAACGACTGTAATAAAAACCCGTGACAAATATAATGCTTACATCTTAAAATGTTATGTTCTGCACTCTAGCCATAAATGATCTCTTCAAGTGGAAATTTAGTAAGAATTTAAAAAAAAAAAGTGAAATTTACAAGAGGTTATATTTGTGTTTTCAGCACGTGACATCCATGATGGAACAAATATTCTGGCTGTATTCTGTCTTTATCTGTGAGAAGCAGCCTGGGGCGAGTTCAGGCAGCTTTTCTTTCTCCGCTGCCAGGTCTTATCTGCAGCAGTGGAGGCTTTTATGGAGGATGGTTGCATGAGGCTAACATGTGGCAAACCACCTCTAAAGGGAAGTAATTACAAAAAAAAAAAAGAAAAACTATTTACACATGAATGCACACACACCTGTCAACCTGCTTTAATACTCTATACCCTCGGGGAAAAATAACACCAAGAGCCACGAGGCACAGCCTGATTTCCACTCTGTAATAAAGAGAGACATCAGCTCTCGGTTTCTTTTTTTGTTTTACCTTTGTGTCCTTCTCTGTGTTTGAATTGGCAGGGAGCCTATAGCAAGATAGAATCACTTTGTTAGAAGTTTTGTGCTGTAACGTTTTCCTTTCCGGAGTGTTTCTCCATCAAAACTTGAAAATGTGTCACTTCTTCAGAAACGTGACGCATGAGACATTTATCAGATTTTAAAAGCAAACACTTTTGACTGTCTTGTGATTGTGAATCATTTAAGAGGCTAAAGCAACGGCTTCCTCTAGCTCTGCCAAACTGATTAATCTACAACAAGCATGTAAAATTAATCAAGTTGGAGAGGAAATAACTTGATGAAGAAATGTGGTCATTTCTTCTTTCGGTCGCTTTAGCTGTTGCGTAATCATTTCTATAAGTTGGTTTATGACAAGCACTGACGAATGAGCCAAAACACAGTTCCATTAATCCTAAAACCACTAAAGACTCTGAGTTACTGTCATCAACAAAACAAGTTTAATGCTCAATGCTTGCTAATAAAGGCTTCATTGTTTGTGTTTATGCTAAACAAATTCATAAATCTATTAATTATGACGCCATGGCAATTAAAACATTACTCAGTCAGCAGCGGGCACCTCAGAGCAGCATGAATGAGACAACAGTTTGATTAGTGTCACAAAGACAGTGTGAGAGTAAAAATAAGATGTTCAGGTCAAACATATTCAGAAAGTTACCCTTTTCTATGAAAATAAACACGTTTTATACACATACTGATAAACATAATGACACCTTATCAACTGTATGCAGTCTTGTTACACTTCTCTGCAATGCAGGATCATATTCCCCATGAAATTCTAAACATCAATATAAATCAAATTAAACTAATCACATTTCGAGTGACAGGGACGTAAAGTCATTTGAGACGTTCTTTAAAGGAAAAGGAGAGGGTTTTTGTGGCAGTCATTAAAACACTTGATAATGAATACATTTTATATCCTAGAGAAAAATTATGTTTTTCCTTTAAATAAAAAAATACAACTATAACAAACCAAATGTAAGCTTTACTTTTTGGTTGAGATAAGGTGTGGAGTAGCTGCATTTTGCAGGTATCTTTTGATTATCCTAAAAGCAAGTGAAAGAACTCCATAATTTGCTAATAAAAAATTGTAATCAACACCTATGAGATGACACGAATGTATATCTAGTTGGATAATTTAATTATCTTATCATCAACTCATTAATCAAATAAGCCACACAGAGAAATGCGAGATCTTTTCAATCCAGATTTAATCCTTGCAAAGGCGTGCAGCAATAGAAAACAAGATGTTATACGAAGCCCTGATCACAAGGTCTGCCTGCGGACAACGAGTTAGTAAAAGCTTAAACACCCGTTATTAACAGAGGCAAGGTCAAGACAACCTCTGCTTCACTGCTCACAGATGTTAAAGGCGTCAGAAGTTATCAGTTATCAGACTCGTCTGAGTAGACGAAGAGACTCTCTTGACTTCACGTGCATGGTTCTGTATTAATTTAAAGCTAAGTGAAAATATCCATGACCTTCACATAACTTCTCCCATTAAACACTTTGCATAAACTAAGATTTGGTTAATTTCCTTCAAATTTCCAAAGGACATTTCAAATTAGGGTGCACACTTTTTAATAATTAACTGAATAAAGTACAGATTTCTCTATGTTAAATAAAAATAATTAAAATTCTGGTCAGTCAGGAGTTTTGGATCATTCCAACGAATCATTTTAAACCCAAACTAATAAACAAAAATTATTTCTTCAAAATCTTGCTGTTATAGTATATGTGCCTTAATGTGAGGTTTGAAGCTCAGGTGATCCAACGAGTGTTTGGAGTCTGAGCAGGTTCATAAAAAAAGATTTTAAACTTTACAGACACTTTATTCCACGAAGTATAACGTGAAACAAACATCACACAGATGTTCACTGAGTGGATACTGGTTGTGCACCGAGTCGTTTATATGTTCAGGGAAATGATTTGACTTCAGGAGACGAGATCACCTGAACGTCAGCGAAGTATCCAGCTTTTAAACCTTTACATCCTCACTTGCCTCTTACTGTATCACACCAAACACTTCTTCATCTCTGTACGTTCTCTTAATGCTGCTGAAATGGTGTTTTGTAATAGTCCTGCCCCTCCCATCCTCTTCAACTCAGCACTCTCTCTCCCTCATCCCTCTCTCGAACTCCCACCCTCCCTCATCCTGATATTAATGACACAGCTATCTGAGGCAGCAGCAGTTCCTCTGCGCTCTCCTTCTCCTGCACATACTGCACTCATACACACACACGGACACACACTCACAAACAGAGGAGCACGCTGACACCAAAACATATTGGACACACTTAGGCACACACAAACACACCCACATAACTCAACTTATTCCCACAACAAGTTCACATTCAAGGCACTCAGCCACAGACTCCACAGACTCATCTCTTTTTTACAAATCTCAAAAACATGAGGACAATTCTGCTTTGCGTTTGTGCCGGTCTCCTGCTCACAGCCACCTTAGTGCCGCAAACCACCTTTGCAGTGGACTTCTCTGGCAACTCCTACCAGCGATGGGATGCTCGCGGACCCTACAATCTGGGATATGAATCTGGTAACCCCACTTCTTGCCCCGTGAAACTTAGACCCTTGGGCCACTGTGGGAGCTCCGGGACAGGAACAGAGGAGGGGGAGGACTGTCCCTACCAGCTCACCCTGCCTCCCCTCACCATTCAGCTGCCTAAACAGTTCAGACTGCTGGAGAAGACAATTAAGGAGCTGCAGAGTCTTAAGGAGGTGGTGAACAAGCTGAAAAGTGGGTGCCAGGAGTGCTGTGGGGCTCAAGGCAACGGAGCACTTGGATATGAGCGAGGGGACAGGGGACAGACACAAGTCTCTATTCAAAGGGATGCTGAAGAAGAAGTCAGACAAGACCTGACAACACAAGGTGGATCTAGCCAAGAAGAGAGGGGAGATGGGACGTTTCCTGGAGCTACTGTGGATAGTACTGGACTGGGGCAAGGTTCTATTTATAGAAAAATTCCATCACATCCAAGCACTGTGCAGGAGATGCAGGTAAGATGCAAAATCCAGTTGCTTTAAACCACAAAAATTGACAAATGTAGGATTTTATCAATAAATGTACACTTGTTTGTCAGTTCAAGCTATGTTGATGAGTTCCCTTTATTTTAAAAAGGGTAGCATACCCTAAAGAAAATCGGGATGCGTGATAGATGACAGCTACACTGTTTTATTTCCAACTAAACTATACTTTTATTTTTCTAAGATCATGTCATTGTCCTCACGTTGAATCACAGTACGAATGGGTATAAAATACATGTTTCATAAATGTATTGGACACACTACCATCTAAAAATTGTCCAGTCAAATGCACCCAACTGGAATGTCAACAGACCAGATGCTAAAAGGCCTGTGATGTCTGATCTGGCACCAGTCCACCAGGGAAAATTCCTGGTACTGTAAACAGGGTGGGGAATCATTATTAGACAGCAGCCAAATGGCGGTAAATTCTGTCTCCCTGGTAAGCTTGTGGATTCTCAAAGTTGTGTTGGCAGACGGCCAATCATCACGCACACAATGTTTCTATTTTAAAAAAATTCAAGTTGACTGGTGCCTTCAGTAATCCACCTGCTTTTGTAGCTAGTGCCAAAACAATGTTCTTCACTCCGAGTCTGGCCTTTTCTCAGGTGAAGCTCAATAGGATGTCAGCCAGCCTGCGCAACGCCAGGAGCCAGATCTCGTCTCTGCAGGGTCGTTTGGAGGAGCTCAACCTGCTCAACATGGACAACGTGCAGGCTATGGTGGACAGACGTGTGGAGAACATCACCGGCATGGTGAACAAGCTCAGCTCCACCTGCAACACCCAATGTGCTGTACAGAACAGCCCTCAGTGTAAGCTTGGCTTTCCTAAGATTCAGTGGTGAACCATTTGAATTTTCTATTTATATTCCACCAACAGATCCAAACTCCAACACTCAAAAAACTCCAGCAGTTTGGGTTGCAGGGAATTTCTTTTGGCATGTCTAAGAAGACGTAAAATGTAATCACTTGGGAGAGAGAATCGTCTTGGGTCACCTTCACCCTACAAGGTTGTTCTTATTTGGGAAATGGGAGTGAAACCTTTCAAGCTGATGGTGATTTTACACAGCTGTTTGTCACAACAGGGATCTTCTATATAAACAAGAAATATAGGAAGATCTGTATGTGAGAAGAGAAAATTTATATCATATCCTCTACATACCTTTTAGCTGAGCTGTTTGTTTAGTGTAAAATAGCTTTTAGATTAGATCATACATCAGTGAAGCAATATAAAAGCCAGGCGCAAAATATGAATTCCAATTAGCTCTTACACAACTCTTTCAAGTGCTTTGACCCTCCACTAACCACAATATGCAAAAACTCAAAGGCAAAAACAGGTTCTTAACATCACACTGCACAGAGGTGACAAAACAGGAGTAGCAAACGAGCTGAGCATGACACATATCCAACAATGATGTAAAAGCTCACTTGGATGAGAGCACAGCCGAAAGGCGGGCCTCTTTTCAGTCCCAAAAATAATAATATCCTGACACTGCATGAGTGGATGTGACACTATATTGGGGTTTTCATGTGGAAAACAGATGAGCTTATGTCTAAGCAGATTAGCTGGGACAGTGGTGTGAAGGGAATCCTGTCTCCTTCTCGTGCATAGTTGCTTTCACTCTAAACTTGACTGTCTTCTTCAAATTCTCCTTTATACTAGAGGATCCCCTGTTTACTTTCATATTCTTTCACTTTTGCTTTTTTAATTTCTCCTTACTAATTTCTGCAGCCCTTGTTTCTCTTCTTCTAGCAGTCAAGCATTTACTTTTGCTGCATAGCTCCGGATCTCAATATGTCTTGCTGATAAAACAAGAAGCGATCAAGACAGCTCTCCTGATATTGTTGTACCAATCATTGAAGGCACACATCATCAACACTCATCTTTGCACATCAGTTTCTCACGTTATCTGTCATGTTTTGCTCAAAAGTAAATAATTTATTCCTGATGGTCTGAGGTCAGTCCAATGGGAGAAGACAAGAAACAGCTGTTGATACAAAAAAGCATTGTGCAATTATCTTCTGATAAGACTGCTGTTTCACAATATGGCTCTCAACAAATATGTAAATGCTGCTTCACTTGAATAATTTAACTTCTAAGAAGACATTAAAACTGATAAGACTAACATTTTACAACCACAATTCAGAAAAAAATGCATTAATGACCGGTGCCATTATCTTGCCAAAACCGTCTCAGACCAATTATCCCCTAATTTGACTCAACAATCTGAGAGTCAGCCAAGAGTCTTTTAGACATGAGTAAGTGACTGATATTAGAGTTCTTTAAGGTCAGGCACGGTGCCAGGCATTTGAGATGAAGATGGTTTTTGCCTGTCCAGGGACATGGTTGTCCATTCAAATGAATGGGGACAAATAGGGAGGGGTAATGTGAAGTGGAGAAACTGCAGTTGGGGGAAAAAGAGTGGGACGCTAAAGGAATTTACAGGTCAATTCTCTGAATGCCAAATGCCGACAGAGTTATTAACGTAACACAAAAAATGTTCCGGCCTCCCGATATACTCTGAAACTGTTCTCCGTATGGGGAGAGAAACCATCTGCAGCCTTTCTGCACTTTAAGTACCTTTTGAAACGTGTGAGGAAAATTAAGTCGATGAGTATACGGTCAAAGCATCTGGAAGTAGCACAAAGGCATATTTTATTTCCTTCTGCGCAAATACTGTTCATTGTAGAATTCTCGTTTCAACACCTGAGATTGTCCCTTTTAATCTACCGTCCCACTAAACAAATTCAGCACTAAACTGTATCAACAATCCAAGTTCAAAGGAGAACCACATACTGCCTGCCCAATGTCAGGACAATTTAGACCAAGATGTGCAGAGGCAGCTTTTCTAAATCAGCTTCAAGCTGAGTTTTGACAAGTCTGTTCCTTTTAGTTTATAACTGCTGACTGACACAGGCCTTGGGGTTTAAGGGTATGGCTTACAGTGCAACACAGAGAAAAGAAACAAGACATATGGGAATAAGTGGGGAGGTGTACAAACGTAGGGGGAAATAGACTTGAGAAAGAGTGAAGAGGTATAATTTGGACCTATGTTGCAGTATTTTATCCCTGATTCTTATAACTTAAATAAGAAAAGAAATACACACGTTAAAGGAAGAATTTATTGACAAATGTTACTATGCTAGTCAGGTTTGAGTCTTGCCAGATTTGTTTAGGGAAATCCCTTTTAAAAGCTATTGCTAGCAAAAAAAAACAAAAAAAAGGTAAATCGTTGTGTTTTAACAAACTATCACAGAAAATCCAAAGATACACAAGACTTCCACAAGATTTTAAAATGAATTTTCAACAAATTCTTCATTTTCTTTTTATCAGTTTAGTAGCCTTGGGAGCCGTTTCTGTAACAATCTCTTGGTTGGGCAGAGAAATAAGCTTGACCAAAGTGAAAGATTATTAAATCCATCCAATAAAATCCTTTTAAAACCACTCCTTATTCTGTCTCTATTCCTCCTGCTTTGCAGTTATCTTAGCCCCCCGTGACTGCTCAGACTACAGTATGCTGGAGGTGAGGAAGAATGGCGTTTATCGAGTGACCCCTGATCCCCGGAATGGGACATTTGAGGTTTTCTGTGAGATGGAGTCTTTTGGAGGAGGCTGGACTGTGATTCAGCAACGTCTCGACGGGTCTATCAGCTTTAACCGCACCTGGGCCGAATATAAGAAGGGTTTTGGAAACCTCAGGTAGGTTTCTTTATTGAAAGCCATTTATGAACCTTATAGAAGAAAAACCTAAACTAATGGAGGGAACACATGGCTGAAGACGCAAGAAATAACCCAATTTACATCAAGGTTAATTTTACCTGACAGAGATCTGGGCTATAAAGTTGGCTTTTAACAGGGATAAGAGATCTAATAAATGCTGCAACTGAGATGCATTATACAGTAGGGTTTGTAGGATGCAGCGGTTTATGAAGCTCGACTCCCCTCTTTTATGTAAGTGGAGTCATAAACTGTTGGATCAGTCTTTAAAAACTGGAACACAGACAACATAAAAACTTAAACATCTTAAAGGGAATCTTTTTTTTTGTAATGTGGACCATGTTCTATGCAGCAGCATTAGCGCCAAGTAAAGCAGCTACAGCTGATGGTAAAAGAGTGATAACTTCACGTGTTTTTAATTGTGTCAATGTTTATGAAGCATACACACTATTGTGATCCATTTTTCTTCCATACCTTTTTCTGCATTTTTCTCATTCCACAATTGTTGTCTTATTTCAACAAATCAAATATCAAAACGTTCAGCGCTGTCAGGACAATGCTGCTATGACTTTTAGCTTTTTGAAATATTTAGCCTTATCTGCCACTTTTTGTTTTTTTCATAGAAAATAAATTGAGCTAATTTCCCACCCTTCAAATCTTTAGATGTGTTTACAACCTTTTACTGCTCCTTTCACATTTTGTTCTGGTTCAGCTTCTTTCAGCTTCCTTCTGCAAATTTAAACATTTCTTTCAGCTACTTTCAGCTGTTTCATCAGATGTTCTGTGCTCCTTTCAGATTCTTTCTGCCATCTACAACGTTGTTGTGCTTCTTCTAACTTTTTTATGCTAATTTCAGCTTGTTATACTCTTTCAGCTTATTTCTGCAAGTTTCAGCTTTTTCTGCTATTTTAGCTACTTTAGCTGTTTTACGCTAATTTTAGCTTTTTCAGCAAAGTCCACATTTTTTGCACTCTTTTCAACTTTTTCCAGCCTAATTCAGCAAAAAAGTGCTCTCTCCACTTCCTTCTGGTAATTTAAGCTTCTGTCTTTTTAGCTACTACTCAGCTGTTTTTGCTTATTTCAGCTTTTTTAAGATAATTTCCTCTATTCTGTGTTCATTTCTACTTCTTTCAGCTTAATAAACTTATTTATGCTAATTTCAACTTGTTATGCTCCTTTCAGCTTTTTTCTGCTAGTTTCAGCCTTTTCTGTTCTATCAGTTATTATTTAGCTCTTTTGATGCCGTTTTCATCTTTTTCAGGCAATTCCACATTTTTTGCTCATTTCAGCTCTTTCCACTTCCTTCTGGTAATTTAAGATTCTAGAAAGAATCTTAAATTATAGCTGAAAAAATGCTGAAGCATTTTCAGCTACTTTTCAGCTTTTGTGTGTGTGCTCATTTCAGCTTTTTTAAGCTTATTTCCAAACGTGTGTGTTCACTTCTGTTCATGTGAACGTAATTCAGCAAATATGTGACCTTTCTGCTTTCTTCTGCTAAATTAGGCTTTCTCTTCCATTTCAGCTACATTTCAGAATGTTTTTTTCAGTTTATTTCAGCTGATTTTCAGCGAGAACTTGTGCAATAAGCATTCGTACTGCATTTTTGCAGGACATGCAATTTCTCTAGTTTACAGTAAAATGGAAATAAAATGTATCATAATAGACAACAAAAAGTAGAACATAAAACCTATTTTGAAGCCAAAAAAAATAGAGAATTTTCTTTGCTTTACTTTGTCTCAAAGCAAAACGTTTTGCACATGAAATATTCCCTCCATGTCTCTGTGCTGATTTTACTAAAACTCTCAGAACATAATCACTGAACAGATATCTGTAACTAATTAAGGTTTTTGAGTCAACCCAATTCAAGATGGCCATCACAGCTAAGTAACTTTAACAAACACAAAAGTGTTTACAACTCAAGTTTTACAGCTATTGAACTAAACTTTGGTGTTGCTGAGACTGAACCACAACAACACAGAGGAGCAGCGGTTACGACAGTCCCCTCACAGCAAGAAGGTCGCAGGTTCTCCTCCTTTTCTGGCTGGAGTTTGCATATTCTCCTCATGCATGCATTTTTGCCCACATATATGTCAGGCTAATTGATAAATAGCCTCTAAGTGTAAGAGAGAATGTGAATAGCTGTTTGTCTCTACGTGTCCCTGTGATGGACCTGAGACCTGTCCAGGGTGTCCCCCACCTCTCGCACAGTGACTGCTGGAGATACTCTTAGGTCCCTGCAATCTGGAAAGGAAAAGCATAAAAAAAAATAGATGGATGGATGGTTGGGTTTAGTAAAAGCGCTGCAGCCTCAGAGCCTCAGTCGTTGCGTTTGGTATGCAGAGCTTAAAACACTGAATTTAAAATTAACTTTATAAATGTTAAACTATGTATATCAACTCCAGCATGTGTGCATCATCACAGCCAGCCTGAACAGCCATGAAGAAACCGCTGATGCTGTGGTCAGCTTTATAAATTTATAAACGTTTCAAATTGGAACTATTTGTTCACCTAAACAGGATGTGAGCTATTTTGGTGGATTAGAAAAAAAAATCACTAAAACAAAGCCTCCAGTTTATTTACAGACACGCGCTCTCTTATTTGTGGATCAGTTTTTATGGAAATGAATGCTACTAAACAATGTCATACCTCTAAACCACGACTTGAAAGCACCCAGTCTGCTTTTAGGAGCCATAACAATAACGATGCACACCTGGTCTCACTATCGCAGATTGTTCACCACCTGTTCTCACGAACACTGACTGATCATTACACATAAAACTAAGTAAATACTCTGACCGCATTCCTACGCACAGGTTGCAAACTTTAATCTATTATTTAAGAAGGGAGACTGTGAATGTTTAGAACAAAGCGTCAGTGAAGGGTACACGGATCGATATCTTCACTTTTGTTATTTGCTCTATTTTATGTGGGGTTTATTCTCTTGTGAGAATAACCACAGTAACTTTTTGATAAGCATGCCTGCAGCTCTCGCATTGCTTCCCACTAAAAAAATAATAACCTTTCTCATCCATTTTTTACTGTCACACTTCGCTCGCATCTCCTCTACATCATCCCAGGTGTGGGAATAAGTTCATTTTGTTTGAATAAATGTATGTTTTCTAACCAACTGTGCCCGTGTTTGAGCTTATTTATATTGTATGCCCAATTTTTAGTTTTCTGTCCTTTCTGCTCCTCTTCTGTCTTGCAGAGGTGAGTTCTGGCTGGGCAATGACTATGTTCACTTGCTGACGAAAGCCAAAGACATGACTGTGCGAGTGGAGCTGGAGGATTTTGAAGGTGTTCGGGAATATGCAAAGTACGACCAATTCTATGTGGCTAATGAGTACCTGCGTTACCGGCTTTCCATCAGTGGATACAGGTACAGTTTTCTTTTGCGGCACACACAAGTCAAATTCAATCACCACGTCTGATTAATCGACGTATCATTGCAGCGGAACAGCTGGCAATGCCATGAGTTTCAACAAGCACTTCAACCACGACCAGAAGTTCTTCTCCACGCCTGACCGCGACAACGACATGTACCCCTCTGGAAACTGCGGCGCCTACTACAGCTCCGGCTGGTGGTTCGACGCTTGCATGTCCGCCAACCTCAATGGGAAGTACTACCACAAGAGGTATAAGGGCGTCAGGAATGGGATCTTCTGGGGAACGTGGCACAACATGTCAACAGAGTACTACCCAACCAACTACAGGCAGGCCTTTAAAACGGTCAAGATGATGATAAGACCTAAAAACTATGCTCCGTAAGAAGGACGAATAAACATTTTGGGAATAGAATCCTATGTTTAGGAAGAAAGAACACATAAAAATGAAACATTTCTCTGTATTTAATTCATTTGCACATATTTACACATGCATCCCTATACAACCCCAATTTTTAAAAAAGTTGGAATGTTGTGTAAAATAAAAGGCAATGAGTAGCAAATACTATAAACCTATATTTTATTCACAATGAAAACATATCAAATGCCAAAGCTAAGCAAGTGTACAATTAAAAACACTATTGGGTAACCTTGAATTTTATAGCAACAACATATCTCAAAAACTTTCACATTTCACTTACTTTTACAGCTTGTTGTTATCCCTGTCCAAGTATTTTTGAGATGTGTTACTACCATAAGATTCAAATTGACCTTACTTTAAAAAGGTACCTTTTCTTTGTTTAAACATTTGATTTGTTTACGTTTGAATGTAATTAAATATAGGTTTGTGATATTTAAAAATCATTGCATTATGTTTTTATTGGCATTTTAAACGTCTCAGCCTTTTTCTAAATTGGGGTTGTAAACAAAACAAAACAAAATAATAAAAGAGTATAGCAGAAAGTTTCAGTGCCGTACTAACAGACTGATGGTGAAATATATCATATTACATTTTGGACTGTAGTGAGTGTGGCCTTTAAGATGATGGATTAGTTTGAGGCTGATTAAAAAAAGAGAAGGAATGATCTGCAAACTAACACACTTGCAATGTAAAAGGCCTGCCTGAAGCAGGGGCAATGATATTACATGGAAGCTGCCCGTGAATAATGTTTTACTGGTTTCTGACATTTCTCCACGCTTTTGTCCTGCTGCCTCCTGCTATAAACCCCCACTGAGACGCAGTGCAGCACATACCAGTAGTAAAAACTAATGAGCTATCATTTTTCTCTGCTGCAAATGATTTTATAATTAACAGAAAGCACTCAAGTGAGGTAAGCTGATGGTATAGTTTTGTGTCTGAAATTATTCTCGGGGTCAAACGGTTTCATAAATCTTTAGAAAAGCTGTTCAGGAGTTGAGATTTCGGTGTGTTTAATTACACCGGCGCATTTCGATAATGCTTCATTATCCTGAATGTTACAAAACATCCCAGGAAAAAGAAATGATGAATTTCTCTCGAGTGCTACCCACATTCAGCACTGTTTGCATTACTGATGCTTTGTTAAATTGCTCCTGACAGCAGCGATTGAGCAGAACATTAAACACTTCCAATTGTTTTTCCATCCCTGCGTTTGGATAGGCAGCACGACTCCATGCCACACACCAAGTTTGTAAAATTCTCTTTGGCTTATCATTGTACAATACCGCCATCTAGTGTTAGGAGACTGTACAGCACCATTTTATACACACTGTGGGTTAAAGATGGACAAAGGATGTGTTTAACAGGATGTGTACAGTATTTATTTAACTTTGTGAGGTATGAGAGCTTTTATATAACGTTTCTGCAGATCATTCTGTGCAAAGTATATTGATTGTTGACAGTCACGCGTTAAGAAATGATGCATAAATGTGAAGTCTTAGCTAAGTCATAACTTTAGAGATTTGTGTGTATGTGTGTGTGGGTGTGTGTACCATACAGATCTTTCTAGTCATGTTAATTTGCCATTACAAATAAAACCTGCATATTTTTTATAATAAAAAAAATCAAGTTCAAATTTTATTGCTGTGTACATTGCAGTGTTTATCGTGATGTCTATTTTGAAGTACAAGCTTTTTATGCTTTGGTATCAAAGAATGTGAACAGAACCATACTTAGCATACATTTTTAGGGGCAATTTTTTTTGCATATCAAAGTTTAATGTGCTTTTAAATTAAACATAAGCAACATTTTGAACAGCTGCCAACTACCATGTGTTTGTTTACCTACAGAAAAAAACAAGTAACTGAAAACAGAACAACAGTGACAAAATATTCTGTTTTATACTTTGCAATGAGCACCTTTAATATTGTCATTGACAACTCTTAAAACTGCATCTTTATAATGCGATGACAAAATAATGTCAGAGTTTTACCTCTTCGAAGATTTGGAAAGCAGGGCATGCAGAGACGTCAGTATTTGTCAGCAGCTGATTTTCGAGAAGCAAAGCACTTCCTGCAAGATCTTCTTGTTCTTCAAACGCTGCTCCTTTTGTGCTGGGAGGCCTGGAATCCTTCTGCTCCTCAGACCCACTCACTAATACAAAAACAAAAAAAAAACAATCTGATTAATTTACAGGTTATTGGTTTTAGTGATGAAACAAATTTAAAAAGCAAACCCCACCCACTCGTTTTTTTTTATTTTGCTCTTTCTGTAATTTCCACTTTTTTACTCAGGTTTGTGAATCCAACTTACTCTGATAAAATCAGTGCATCTATATGTTTAAGTGAAGCTATGGTAATTAGCATATTGACAACAATTAGCATTAAAAATGCTCAAACTAGCGAAAACTGACTTATTTTGACGGTTTCGTACAATTCAAAAATATCAAAAATTTAAAAAAAATTAATTAAATATGGTATTCCTAAATATTTTATACCGAAAAGTTTGTTTGATTAAACTTTTAAGATTTCGTTTTTAGCCTACTCATTATTAAACGACTAAGATACAATTTCAAACTCATATTTGTTGCTAAAGACACGAAGTCAAACGTCTTACTGTTAAAAATGTTCACGTCTCCTTGTTTTATCTTGAATTGGTAACTTGTTTGTCCGACAACTTTAATATATACGACCTTTGAAAAGTTTAAAAAGTTAGCGTTAGCAAAATCTTTTCGTTTTCATTTCCGGGTGAGCAGTGTTGTGGTCACCATGGCAACGACGTACCCCTGTTGTTACGTTGCCAAGTTTACAATAACTGTCGTATTTTTACGATAGTTTTAGGGTGCGTGTGATTTCCGTGCACCAAAGCAAAATAAACTTGTCACTAATTTATTTAATTCACGTGAGCAGCGATATACTGTATCACAAGGTCCGATCCGACGGAACGTGTGCTGGCCAGTCGCAACGTCATTTTTTTATCTGGCAACCCTGCAGTAGAAATTAAATAAAGACGATTTCAGGGGTTTTAATGAGTTGAAATAATAATAATAATTATTATTATTATTTTTGTCTTTTTTTTATAACTGTCCTAATAAGCATATTGGCAAAAAGCAGCCGATGTAATGTATATTTTTAAGCATAAAACAGACCTTATGCAGTGAAAAAAATATAAGCAAATACCTTTACACAAACTCAAAAAAATAAATTAACTTAAAACAGGAAATAATTAGAAAATTTGACATTTTTAAACTTATATGACTTAGATGAAACCGTTCCAAACTATTGTAAATCCCTGTTCATTAACTGCACTTACCTTTGTTGTCCTCCAGGTGGCGGAAAACAGTGACGTCAGTGCAGTGCAACCACATCACTAACATATGTCATGAATTGACCATTTTTAAAGCCAGATGAAAGTATACACCAGCTGAGTGAGCTCCAAAATGCATAAATCCTAACTGATTCAAATGACTTGAAGTTATAGTTGAGATGATGATGTAACACTCTGCTCTCCTTTTACTTATTTTCCCACAATGCCGAGGTGGCATGGGCCATCATTCACTCTCTACAACAGCTGCAGGAGTGGGCCACATCATTATGTGCAGCCTTATGCGTATACTGGAGTGTGAATTTTCAGACAAAGAAAAAGAAAAAAAAGAAACTTTTGGACATTACACTAAAATGAAAACAGAATTCCATTTAATAAAGGCCTAGGGTTTTTTTGAAGGGATGTATCAAAGTTTTTCAAAAGTGTTGTGAAAAACCTTCAAAGCAAAAAATAAACATCTTAAATGACTGAGCATCTCAGTGAAATGCATGTTTTCTGCAGGTTGGATTTAGGACCTACCAGCTTGTGGGGCACAAGACTGGCTTTTATTTGCCAGTATAAATGAGAAAGGGAGGAAATAAATAGGCAACCCCCCCCCTCCTGTGCACTCAAGCAGACTTTTTTTTAACAGCCTTTCCAAACTAAACTTGTTAGTTGCATAGCTCTATTTTTACCAACACTTGTTAAGTTTTGTACAAATCACCTGGTGCTTGGGAGCAACAGTTTTTGGAAGAAGCCGTACCCTTTAAAAAAAGCATCCAGTAGAGTCGATGTGGGAACAGGCAAACCTTGTGATGTAAATGAGCATGTTTGGGTCAGACCCAGGATCAAGTAATTTTCATGTAAATGAGTCTAGACGGAAAAAATAATAAAAATAGCGAGTGGGGGGAAAAACATACTTGGAAAAAAAGAAGGCGTCATTGTTTTGTATTAAAACAAGCACCTCTGTTTGTGTCATCATTTTCCAGATTTTGCTTTTGTTTTTTAAAAGTATGTGAAAGTGTCTGCTGACTAAATGTATTTTCCACCATGACTTCCCATCAACTCAACCATAATTGCCGGCTGTGATTCATGGCTTTTATACCACACAGTTCTGATTAAACTGCTGAGAAGTTTAACAATCTTCAGCAGATGTTGATGACTGCTGAGTCACTTAGCAGAGATGAAAACGTGCATCAACATGCAACAGGTCACTTTTCAGCTGTTTTTGTGAACTCTTCTAAACGGGCCCGAACTACAAATAACATTTCCTGTAAAAATGCAGTGCAAAATCTGAGCATTGAATTATTGTTTCAATTTGTTGAAGAAGCTGAAATTTAGTTGTTAAAGTCAAAAATAGCAAAATGCTAGCTAAAAGGAGCAAAAAGCTAGCTAAAAGTAGCTAAATGCAAGCTAAAACGAGCAAAAAACTGGCTTAAAGTAAATAAATGCTTAAACTTAAAAGCAACAAAAGGCAAGTTAGACTATAACAGCAGAAAAAGGTTTGCTTGAAGCTAAAAGAAGCAAAGGTTAACTAAAAGCTAAAATGAAGAAGAAGAAAAAAAAACACCCCACCAAAAGGTTAAGTAAAAGTAAAAAAAGCAGAAGGCTTGCTAAAAATAGCAAAAAGCTAATGCTAAAAACAAGCCATTGGTAGCAAAAGA